GTGTGGCTAAGGAAAACTATAAGAATACTGCAGGAGGCCTGTGTTTCTGTGTAACTTTATTTTCCTTTTCCTTCTTTACAGCACTTTTGGGGGCCAGTTGCCAACTGGGGACTTCCTGTTGCTGCTATTAATGACATGAAGAAATCGCCAGAAATCATTAGTGGCCGAATGACATTTGGTAAGACTTGAGAAAAATTTCTTGTCAGTAAACTGACTACAGAACACAGATTCTGTCCTTCAAGCAGTGATATTAGTTGCTTGCAAACTTGTGATCAAAGCAGATATAGATATCAAATATCTTGTTATATAACTTCAGAGGCCACTTAAAAATTGAGGTACTGAAAAGTTGCAGAGCTCTTTCAGAGGGCTTTCCAGAAATTTGGGGGGGAAGGACGTGGGTCTTGAGTCTTAGTAGTTTTGATCACCAGACTCACTTCTAAAGTATAATTCTTTTTGTATCTTATACTGCTGCATGCACTGGTTCAGAATGCAGCTCTTTACACAACTTTATTCTTTGTATCGAGAACAATGGTGGCTTGTGGTTAGTGTGAGACTTAAATATCAACACTGACAAAGTGCAGAGATAGTAATGCTTGGTCTGCAGGGCGCAGAAAGCAGCGGAGGGAGGTTAGCTCCTTGCAAAGCAGTTCTCTGTGAGAGGCTAGCATGACTCTTAATGGAACAGTGTGAGAATTTCTTTTTAAATGCATAAGCACTATTTTTCCCCACCTTTTTTGGAACATGTATAGCTTTTGCCTAGGTGTCTGTCTCTGTATTTTATTGTTCAAATACTTCTCTGGGATCATAAATCTGATAGCTTTAATTTATTAACTTAATTTTGGCATCATGTCTCTTCCTTTACTCAGTTAATAACTTAATTCTGAGTAATTATTCTCCCTGAAGCAAAATACCTTTGGGTTAAGGAAATTTATAGCCTCGTGCTCACTATGTTCTACTTAGGCTCTTAATCAGCTTCCTAGGGATGGAAGACCAGTTTGAATAGTCTCCAGTATAAACTGTTTTGCAAATAGTGCTTTGGTGGCAACTACCCAGCTCAGCAAAGTTAAGACACTTTTTAGTTTTTGTAAGTACACTTATGGTGTGTGTACGAATATTTTTTTTCCCACCTTGTAGGTTCTGTACCTAAAAAAAGGCTGTTTTCTTTAACAGTTCATTTCCTGGTATTTTTTTTCTTAAAGCCTGTCAGAAAGCTAAAAATGAACTTTGCAAAACTAGTGACTTCTTGGGTTGTAATTTCCTGTATTTACATGCACTTATGGCAGGAGAGTAGATTAAAATTGTTGCTCATTTTCCTGGAAAGCAGGTAACAAAGCTTTATGCTTCTGAATGTTCATGGTTTCCTGGGAATGGAAACCTCCTTCTCTTAAAGTCCATCTTAGAATGTTCCCAGCAAGAACTGTAGTTAAGTAATTAGTATTTTTAAAAATATTCTGTCCTATAAATTGTCAGAATAATTGTATAGGACAGGTGATGTCTCATTGGGATTAACTCTCATTCTCTGGCTGAGATAGTTTAGGCAATAAATTTAAAAGGCCTTATTGCCTCACAGGAAAGCCTATCAGGAAAATGAGGTTTTGTGGAAAGCTGCAGCTCTGTAGATTTTCTTGTGTACCAAAATATTAGCACTGTTCCATTTTTTCCTGCATTGTATCCTCAAAGCAGATGAATTTGTGGGATTGTTGGAAAACTCAAAAAGCAGTGACAAGCGTTCTACTTGTCATTACATTCCAACAGTATGAAAATTAAGCCTCAACAGAATGCAGATATTAAAAAATAATCTACTAACAATATCTATCATGTTTTGCAGCACTGTGTTGTTACTCCTTGACTTTCATGAGATTTGCTTACAAAGTGCAGCCAAGGAACTGGCTTCTTTTTGCATGCCACTTGACTAATGAAGTTGCACAACTTATTCAAGGAGGACGACTGATCAAATACAGGCAAGTCACACTTTAAAAAGGGGAAGTCATAAACTGATGGCTCTTGGAATACTCTCTTACTGGTTTTTAGCTGTGGTGCAAACCCCTGGATGGTTCCTGAACTTGTTTAACTTCATTACCTTTTGCAAAACTATTAACAAGCTTTTTGTCAGTAGGCTGAACTATGACGTGTTGCCTTGCACCTCCTTTGAAGCTTCTGAGGGGTGCACACAGAAAAGGCTGAAAACCCTTATGGTCACGCATGTAGACAGGACTTTCAGCAGCTGCTGGTTATTTTGGGGTTTGTCTCATGTATTATGTTGATTAGTCCACATGTCCATCTCAGTAACTAGTTCCTGAGATGGAAACGCCCATAAAACTGTGAAGGGATTGTATGTGAGAGAAATTAAGCAAAACCTCTCTAAGCTGACTGTTCTATACATGGAGTAGATCCAACTGAGTGTGACTGGGAAACAGACTGCAAGCAGTCTCATACCCTCATTATGTAGCAAGTAGTGCAGACACTGCCCCAAACAATCCTGATGAGTCAGGATTATGGCTTTTCTCTCTTCTGCTCCAAAAAATCCATGTGGAGCAATGAGAGGATGAAGCCTTCTGAACTATAAATTTTAAAAAATGAGACTGAGCAAAACTGCAAGTGGACCTGCCTTTGCATAAATAACTGGACAAGTGTCCTACATTCCTAAAGTTCTGCTGTAACTCCAGATTTTTTCATAGCAATTGCAGTTCAATACTCACTCTTACAAAAGCTGTTCTTCTCTTGGCAGGATGGAGAAAAAGAACTAAATATCTAACTTTAAATAAGCCCGGGAATGTGTTCATCCCGAATTACAACCAAGGAAGACTTGCCATCTACAGTTACTGTGACAATGACAACGGGGATAAAACAGAAACACCTATTATGAATATGACCCCACGAAGAATAGTTCTACTAATGTTTTTTTTATCTTGCCTTTTTAAAAGTACTATTCAGCAATGTAAACGATTGCATTTAAAGTCTTGCTGCCTTACAGGTCCTTAATTAACTACCCTTTTAATAAAGAGTTAGTGATCCAAATAACAAGCAATATTTGAAGACCAACTTTTTTAAAATCTAACAGTCTACAAAAATGGCCTGTGATGGTTTGACAAAACTTGTTTTCAAATCAACATGAACAGAGGTCAGTAAACAGAACTGTAGGTGGTATCATTGTTCTATGTATTAACATATTCTTAAAAGCCATTTAACTTGGGTGCATTCATTCCTATTCTGTCTCTTTTTTTTTTTTTTTAAACTTAAGCAGTGGTTTGCTAATCTACAAGAACAAATGTGTAGATAGGCAGCCTGGAAGTGACCAGCTTTCCTTCTTCCCTTACTGCATGCCTTGTCTCAGTAAAGAGACTTCATTAACGTACACTTTTAAGTCGCACATTATTTAAAGAAGACTTGGAAGAGCAAAAGCATAGCACTGAATGAAGGAAAGCAACAAAGTCTGATACTGTTCTTTAAGAAGTTCTAAATGGATTTTATTTTTTTCCTACTGTTTGAGTTGTTATAGATGTACGTAATCCTTATACAGGCAAAAAATTAACTTGTTTGGAGTCTAAGATCTGAAGGACATGAGGTGCCTTTCAGTAGTTTTTGACTTGATTGGGAGAGTGGTTTTCCTGCATGACCTGCCTGAAAGTTACATTGGTGTAAGGATATAGCTGACAAAGAATGTATGTGATGGATTTTTATTTCAGTGCAGTGTTTTTGAACAATAAACATGTTCCAAATGGCAATAAATCCCTTCAACATTTTGAAAATTTTTGTTTATCGTATTGTGATACCAGATGCTGGAGTGAAATTTTTAGTATGGAGTGTCAATTTATTACTGTAATAGCGTGAGGCAAAAACAGGCTGGAAAAGCAAATGGTATTATCCTTTGTATGTACTGAGTTTAGGCAAGTGTACTCTGGATCCTAATACCTACCACTTCTCCCCCCCTCCCCCAGGGAAAAGGGGATGTGGGTACTCAACTGAGTATTCCTGCCGTGATACACAGGGCTGAATTGAGGGTTCTCGCTATGCAGCTGAGTAAATATTACATATTGTCTTCTAGCAAATATAAGATGGTCAATTAAAAGACTTGCTTTAATCCTAGGCTGATATTGTGTTCCCAGTTGCATGATGGCTAAATTTTGTAACAGGCATACGAGAAAGGCTTGTAGGGCATGCCCTGCAGGATGGGTAAAGCTAATACTGACAACTACTCGTTGCTTTAGAAAAGTTAGTGCATGCAGCTGCCTCTTCAGTACTGCTGTCTTGTTGCAAAAGTAGTCATCTCTAAGAGGAATCATTAGACTTTTGTATAAATAAGTAGTGAGATACAAGCAGGTAAGGATAACTGATTATCTTAGCACCTTATAATTTGTTATCTGATTCTGCAAGTTAGTTTCTCTGCAGAAATAACAGAATAGTTTTGGTTGTAAGGGACCTTTAAAGGTCATCTAGTCCAGCCCCCCTGCAATGAGCAGGGACATCTTCAACTAGATCAGGTTGCTCAGAGCCCTGTCCAACCTGAACTTGAACACTTCCAGTGATGGGGCATCTACCCCCTCTCTGGCAACCACCTCCCTCGACCTGCTGGCCACGCTTTTGATGCAGCCCAGGATGCGGTTGGCTTTCTGGGCTGCGAGTGTGCATTGTCAGCTCATGTCCAGCTTTTCATCCACCAGCAGCCCCAAGCCCTTCTCTGCAGGGCTGCTCTCAATCCCTTCATCCCCCAGCCTGTGTTGATACCAGGGGTTGCCCTGACGCAGGTGCAGCACCTTGCACTTGGCCTTGTTGAACCTCATGAGGTTCACATGGGCCTGCTTCTCAGGCTTCTCCAGGTCTCTCTGGATGGCGTCCTGGCCCTCAGGCGTGTCACCTGCACTGCTCAGCTTGGTGTCATCTGCAAACTTCCCAAGTGTGCACTTGATCCCATTGTCAATGTCATTGATGAAGATACTACATAGTACTGGTCCCAATACGGACCCCTGAAGACACCACTTGTCACCAATCTCCATCTGAACATGGAGCTGTTGACCCCTTTGGATATGACCATGCAACCAATTCCTCATCCACTGAACAGTCGACCCATCAAATCCATAGGTGGGTTTGAACTTCATAGATATGAAATGGGCTGCTCTTGGGTAAAGCTCACAATAGATGGAATACTCTAGCCTCACCTGGTGCTTTGATCACCATTAGCTGCTGGTTGTCTTAACTTCCCTAACTAGGAAATACCACTTACAAGAGTTTATCTTCTCTCATTTTTCTGGTAGCTGCCTGCACCATATTTTCTCATGTATTTCCTTCGACCTTTCCTTTCTTCCCCCCCCATCCATTCACTGTGACAAGGCTCAAGTTCTTTCATACTGGAGTAGTGCAAGAGTGAATAGCAGGTGGAAAGTGGGCTCTAGCTTGCTTTGGTTAGATTTTAAACCAGTGATGCTTCCTGCAGTCCGTATAGGCTTCTACAAAAAGGGGACGGGGTGGAGCAGAACCTCTTTCATGGGACTTGTAGGGACAGGGCCCAGTCTGGGATGGGGAACTTGGGGCTGGGGTGGATGTTCCACAGCCTGTCAATCTGCCTAGTGACAAAAATGTTTATATGGGCAGAGTGCCACCAAGTGGCTTTTGTGACCTGTGTCCTTCAGAGCATTATTTATCAAGCCATTTACATATCATTTCCTTGTTTAAGTCATGGTGCTTGGGGAAAAAAACAAAAACAAACAAACAAAACCACAAACCTTAACAAGGAGAAATGAGGAATTATTGCAATATAACTGGCGGAGGTGCTCACCAAGCCACTCTCCACCATTTGTCAGCAGTCCTGGTCAACCTGGGAGGTCCCAGGTGACTGGAAGCTAGCAAATGTGACACCCACCTACAAGAAGGGTCGGAAGGAGGATCCAGGGAACTACAGGCCTGTCAGCCTGACCTTAGTGCCAGGAAAGGTCATGGAGCACATCATCTTGAGTGCCATTATGCGGCACGTGCGGGACAACTGGGGGATCAGGCTCAGCCAGCATGGGTTTATGAAAGGGAGGTCCTGCTTCACTAACCTGGTCTCCCTTCTATGACAAGGTGACCCGCTTAGTGGATGAGGGGAAGGCTGTGGATGTTGTCTACTTGGACTTTAGTAAGGCCTTTGACACTGTCTCCCACAGCATTCTCCTGGAGAAGCTGGCTGCTCACAGCTTGGATGGGTGCACTCTGCGCTGGGTTAAAAACTGGCTGGACGGCCGAGCCCAGAGAGTGGTGGTGAATGG